ATATTGATAATTACTATGGGCATACATTAAATATTCTGTTTTAGTCTCATCCCAGTATCTGCCTGTACTTACAAGGGCCTGCCTGTCTTCCACAGTCTGCTCCACCATTTTATTATTGTTCCTTTTTTTGTTCTAGATATCCATCTCTCTTACTTTTCCTGCCAAGTCATGCTATCCTCTCTCTTGTCCTGTGGCTAACATGTATTTTTACAGGGTAAAACACAAGAGGGAAAAAAAGGAAGGACTGAAGAAGGAAAGGAGGGAGCAGAGAGACACCTGGAAAAAAACATGCTGATTTGCCAAGTGGAGGGATGATGATGCAGCTGCTGGAACACATTGGCTTAGAACACTGTGACAGTCTCTTATCTATTTTTTGTTTTACCACATATCAGCAGCCTCATAAGTTTTTCCTATTTCAAAACATCTCCATTTTGGCTCTGAGGGTGAAATGGCCTGGAAGGTTTGAGCTAAAAAAGTTGAAAGTATTTATGTAGACTCATATTAATGAAGCCATGCTTTTCCAAAAATAAACTAATTTGAAAGTGCCAAAAGACTTAAACTCTTCTTATTGACTTATTTTTCTCTGGTTTTTTTTTTTTTAAATTTCAAAAGAGAGGAATAACCACAAAAGTAAAACTGTAAATACTATTTAATCAAATGAGCAAAGTGCAACAGCTATTTATCAATTAAGAAATCAAGAGGTAGAAAATACCAAAAGTTCCAAAATCTTAATTCATTTTTCTGGGCATGGCTATGGGTGATTTGGTGAAAATAAATGATGCTGTCCCTACACCATGTTTACTGAGCTACCTGCATAGCCCAAGCGGAAGCCACATGGAACAGGTCTTCCCCTCCCATTGCACTGCCTGCAGCAATAGCCCAGCTTTGTCCATGGGACAGGTTAACATTTTGTGTCCTCACATGCCAGTCTCCTACTGAGGCAACATTATACAGGATTTTATGGATTTCAATATTTATAAATTTTAGAGCTGATTGTATACTAGAGGACTTTACCTGCTCATTGTTAACTATTAATCATCACTGTGGGATTGTTTGTAGGGATTGTCAAACATTCATGCTTGCAGGTACAATCCTTGCTAAAATTGCTCTACAGTGTGGAGACACCAACATTTCCTTGATGCAGTTTTCTTTATGCAACATGTATTCCTACTGATTAAAAGCATTTATCTCCTCTCAATTTTATATCCATTAAATAAAGAGCAGTAATTGAGTGTATCTTGCCTGTATTCCCAAAGTGCATTTCACCCATGTGATGGGCATAGTGTTTCAATGGCCATTCTAGAGCTAAGAAGAAAAGAAGTGCCATGATCTGGGTGTCCATGTGCCATTGAATCCACTGTTCTGCATATTTTATGGTATGTCATAGCATGGATTATTTAATTAAATGAGCAAACACATTTGTCCTCAGGAAAAGTGTATATTTGCAAGTAAAATGCAAAATATTTTTATGCAGAATCCAATTAATTTCTGAAGGCAATTTGTCGGCATATTTGGGTTTGGTGTTTTTTGAAAGTTGGCCTAGTTAATTATGGTAATCCAACAGCATAACTCTGTCTTCACTCTCATATTAAAAACATACTTCTGCTTAAAGAAACTTCCTTTTCTTTTTCTCCCTGGGAAAGTATGTGGTTTGTACTGGATCATAGCTGGATATTTGTGAGTAGTCCTGGTTAATTTTTCTTGTCAGTAGCCCTGAGGGGCAAAAAGGGATTTAATCAAATGATTTAACATTATCTAGGCAAGAAGTAACCATGTTCATATTATTCTTATGAGAACTTCATTAACCCCAGCAAGAATATTCATCTGAATGAAAAGAACAAGATTAAGCTTTCTGATTGCTAACTAGTTTGTGTGATGTCAAAATGGATGTCCATGTAGTCAGAATATTAAAAATTGAGCTAAGTATAGAATTTTGATTCAGAGGATCATTCTTCTAATTTAAGTGACTATAACTCATAAAATGCAAAGGTTTTTTCTTATAATGCAGTCTAGCTGTTCATCTAATTCAAAAAGAAATGTATCAGTTAATATGTGAATTTTAACACTTTTTCCCAAGGAGTGTCCTTTGATTTCCTTTGTACATAGAGGGTTGCAAACTCAAGGCATGCAGTGACATGAGCTTCTCCATTAATCAGAGAGACATGATTTGCAGTTGAACCATCTGGAGCAGTAAGACCTGGGGCAGGGTTACAGAAGGATCCACTCAACCCTGAAAATTCAAAACTAAACTGAGACTTTGTCCTTTATTCATCAGATATCACAAGTTCTTGCAACAGGTCTTACATAATGTTCAGTAGATGCTGTAATACATAAACAAATAGTATTGGGCTAAGAGAAAAGAGTCAATGTCTTAACCGTGAATGTCTTTGGTTTAATGAATTTGAGTTTATTCCTGAAAAAGAATTACCTTTTCAGAGGTGGCTGGTATGAAACATTTACAGAGGCTCAGTGTTAAAAGATACATTTTCTGCCACATTTAGATTTTTACCCCTTAGGCAGAAAAAAGTGAATGTTCAGATTACTGTCATTATTAAAATTAGAACTCAAATATGGATTTGCAGATGTAGCCTAAAAAAGTACATCAAAAATAAAACATAAGTTTTATTTAGCCAAACCAAGCACAAAGCAATTTCTTCTGGAAGAAATTCTGTGTAAATCTCTGGTTTATGTGGAAGCTGTTTTAATTAGGTTTTGTAATTATCTTCCTTTTCTCTTAGTCTACATGTCAGTGTATATCCAGACAGCCAAAGTACATTTAAGATTAAAAAAAGTTCCACTAAATATCTCTTTCATTAAACTCAAGGAGGCAATGGAGAGACTCACATTTCACACAGGATGTATCTGCAAAGGAACTGTAAATGCCAATGCACATTCCCCATGGCTCAGTGTTTCTTCTGTTAACTCTGTTCTGTTATAAAAATAATTTTTCAGCTTTGCTTCTCAATGCTTGTCAGGCTCTCCAGAAGGGTTGTGGCAGCATTGCATGATGAGCTCAGTGCTCTCAGCATAGCTGGTGGCATGGGGTGGCAGGGGACAGCCAGTGGAAAAGGCTGACAGCACTGGGCAGCTGACAGTCCAGATATCAGCAGGTCATCATGAACTTCACTTGTCCCTAAGAACCAACAGTACTGTAGCTGATTATTTCTCAGAGTTGGAAACTGGGATTTTGTGGTCCACAGCCTGAAAGAGCTCCAGGGGCAGTTCTGTTATGCATCATTACCTTCTCTCTATTCTTCAATAAATGATAAATAAAACACAGTGAATTATAGGATTGAGTAGCTGGACCTGTGTTCTGCCAACAGAGTTAAGACTCTGCAGACAGGGAAGAGGGCTTCATGTGTGCCTTTGGACACAATTTTGTCTTTGCCTGACCTCACCTGTTACTATTTTTTGAGTGTTTGTCACCTATCGTGTGCCTCAGTACTCCTGGCTGACAGCAGGAATAATTGCAGCTTCTGAAAAACCACTGGAGCAGTCCCTGTTGGCACCTTTTTGACTGCTGTCAGGCCTTGCACCCTCTCTGCTTTGCCCACATTTCTCTGCCCTGTGTAAATTCCTGTCCTTGCAAGGAGTGAGCCCTTCTCCCATGACAGCAGCAGAGGGCTAGATCCCTGCGTCTGAGTGAAGTGGGTTGCTGACCTCTGCAGAGACACTCACTTCCCAATGGAACCTGAACATCTCAAAGCTCTTGTGCTCTGTCCAAGGGATTTTATATCCATCAGACTTCCGCCCACTGAGAACATGTATTTACCAGCTATGATACTGAAGATTGACTTTAAAAGAATTTTGGAAGATTTTATAATTAACTGCAAAAAACTGGCTGTGTTCACCCTTGACCAGACTTCAAAAAATAATTAGGAAACTGACTTCCTAGGTTTCATCTGAAACCCCACAAATACAGGAGCAGAAGGGTGAGTATATATCCAAGACAGCCCAACTGTTTGCAGAGCTGTGTTGGGACCCATCTTGAAAGAGACGAGCTTGGGACCTCCAGAGGACACCCCTCCACCCAATGCACACAGCATTCTCAGCATCAACACAAGCATAAGGGCACAAGCAGCTCAAAGAGGGCAGAAACACCTGAGTCCAGCAGTGCTGACAGGGAAAAGGGCTGTGCAGCCACAACCACAAACCCCTCAGCTGGATTGATCTACAGGCTGAACTGGGAAGACCAAAGGGAAAAAGGCTGTGCAGGAACAACGAGCAATGAGATGTCCCACCCCAATCCTCCTATGAACATTTGTTTCAAAGAACAGCTGTTTTCTATAAAGCTGACTTGAAAATTGGTATCTTCCTACCTCTGAGAGAATTTGTTCACTTTATCTTTTTACTGGCAAAACTACTGTTGTTTCTTTACATTCTTGCCAGCCCTGCAGAGCCACCTCAGCACTGAGGAGGTGAACCAGAGTCTATTTTGGCATAAAGCAGAAAGGACACAGCTTGATCTCAAATCCCAGGGTGGATTTTCAGTGCTGGAAGTCAAGAAAGTCAAGGTTTTATTTGTAAATTAAAAGAGGGGTCAACAGGAAAGTCACTGGAAAAAAAGAAATAGAAAACCGATATGAAACCCTACCATGCCATTAATAGTCTCTTTATAGATGAGAGCATAGTTTGTGGAATGAAATTTGAGTTATAAATAATATTATTGTTTGTTTCAGCCAAAAAGCTGTAGCTCATTCAATTAGGAGAATGGATGTGTTTGTGTTGTGTTACTAATTTCTTCATTGTAAAATATATCTGTAATGATAATCTATGGAAATTTTCTTGCAGTGGCAAGGAAAAGGATAATAAAAGAACTTTCATACACTTCTTCCAGTAAGAAAAATACCTGAGGGTTATTTGATCTCTTTGTTCCCTTAAATCAAATAGCTGCAAACAAACAAACAAACAAACAAACAAACAAACAAACCCTGTGCCAAAAAAAAAGAAACCCAAACCTGAAAAAATGAAAAACCACAGAACAAAAGCCAAAACAAATTTTAATGAAAAATAATTAAGGGAAGAAATGTGAATTGGCAGATTTGGTTATGGAGTTCAGTGTTAAAAAAGGATCATTTGTACAAATCTGGGAGAGAGGCTTAGTCATTTTCAGTAATTTTCTAAGTCCGTTCAGCTCTCAGGGTGTCCCATTCCCTTGGGTGGTGTGACGAGCAGCAGTGAGCCACATAATATTATATCAATCCTTAATGCTCGCTTATTTCAAGCACCAATGATGAGGCATTACATAATGTCAAACAGAAATGTTTGCTGCAAAAGAGAAATAAACATTCTTTTTGAAATATTTCCATTGAAAACACTATGTAAAAACACAGATGCAGCAAGTAGTAAGCCCAAAAATCTGTAATGGCAATAGCAAAAGATTCACAGTACTTCTCTGAGCCATTTAATGCTGACATTTCATTTTTACAAAGCCGATGATTTTTCTTCCTATTAAAAAAATTAAGTTCAGTTTTAAGAAAAATAAAATGTTAAGCACTATAAAACAATAATTTTAACACCAGGTTGCAATATGTGGAATAGATTGCTTTGATCCGGAGTGAGGCAGGTAGGGGAAAAGTCAAGATGAAATACATTCTTGGGAGGGAAGGATAATGAGGGGAGGGGATGTGATTTTTATTTTTTTTTTAATGAATTGGGTTCACCCAATGTGTACAGTATGTATAGCAGGAAGTCATGAGCTATTTCCACAGCTCTGTACATGGCTGTTGTTTTGGACAGGGAAAAGGCAGGGTGTGGGAGACAGACAGTGCTCTCCCTAGTAGATCCAGAGACCAAAGAGCAAGCTCTGGCCTGTCCTGGTGCCAACAGCCATTTTCAATAAATAGAAATAGTTATAAATAGAAACTCTGTTTAATGCAGGGTCTCAAAGGCAGCTGAACATGACGCTGGTCACATCACACCCATGACTGTCACTACTTTCAGAAAATGGTACCCATTGGTCATGGTTATTTGGAGAGTCATGTAGGCAGATATTTGACTCATTTTGATAGAGTTTGTGAAGGGTTTAGTGATCTGGAGTTACAACAGCAAGTGCAGTGTGGTTATATCCCTGTGAAAGTTAATCACAAAGGTCTCAAGCTAATATAAGAAACTCAATGTCATGGTGAGTAGGCTATTTCCATCAGTTAAACTAAAGTGTGTAAACCTGGGTCATGAGAAGTAATCTAGAATGTTATTGTTTTATAAGAAACATATTTTGGCCATATTATTATTATCATTTCAGCCATCTGAGGACCACAGTCAGCAACTTCTTGTTTCAGAAGCTCATAAACTTGGGGTGGGTGTATCTTGAATCAATCAGCCAGGCAAAAAAAAACTAAACAAAAATACAACTACAAAAAAACCAAAGAAAACCTAGGAGGACTACAGATATAAAGAAGCCAAGGGAAGACCTCAAATACCCTGTGACAACCTCTGCCAGCACAGAGTCACAATTAACATTATCCCTAAGCTGAGCAAAGGGACAGTCAAAACTGAGCACGGTGAGCTGCGTAAAGGAAGTTTTGAATGATAGCAAAGGTGGAAATTGTCACACAACTTCTCAGGCAGGCATTTTGTGGCAGGGTTTCACCCATGCTGACTGAACCCCCCCTTCTCACCTGAGCAGCTGCATGTTTTGCACCAATAGGTAGCCATGACAAGGGAATAAAAACCAGAGACGAAATTTAGCTTCTTGCGCAGCTCGTCTGGGAGGAGGCCACCAGTCCCGGTGGGACTACAAGTTGAACACCTCTCCCAGGCCCTGGGGCACTCAGCCTCAGCTCCCACCAGGATCAAGGCACCATCCCAGGGAACACAGAGCCAGGGCAGGAGCACCACCAAGCAGCACTTGGACTCCAACTCATGGGTAAGGTGAGCCCTTGAACCCCATCATAACCAGGGTTACCTGGCAGCAGGGCATGTCCTCAGTGCACAGAAACACCAGGAACAAACCATTCAGGCACTGTACATCATCCCTTATTCCAAGCAGAGATAGCCCTCTGTGAAAAAACATGGGAAACTAATGGGGAAATGGTGTTGAAATAAAAATAAGTTGCATATGGGGAGATGCATTTTATCAGTAGATTTTTAAACAGATTTTTTAACATCCTCAATGAACAAACTTGTTCATTTGTAAGAATAAAAAAACATTTCCTTCTGATAAAATGTAGGTATGCAGATTAACAATGCGGTTTTCGGACTTAATAAAATGCTTTGAGATTTTAATTAAACCTCTGCTTCTGCTACCAAAAATATTCAAAATTTATTTAGGGTTCCTGCATTTCTGTACCACAGAGACAAAACCTTGAATGGTGATGGAAGAATGAATGGAGTCAACTTTATGTGGCGGTCCAGAATACTTGTTGCCTTCTTTATCAGTCATCTCGGGCAGTGTGAGAAAATTGGTGTTGCCCCTCTACAACTGAAATCTGGGGAGAAACTATAGGGTTGCTTAATATCTAGAAAGAACCCAAAGAAATATGATCACTTAGTTCTCCTTGCAGGAGTCAATTCTGCCATGAATTGTTGGGTAAAGTATAAAAAAGGTACAGCAGCAAAAGCTGTATTTAATTTCCAGAGGTATAGCAACCCCACTGGATATCATCAGAACCTCACCTCAGGTACTGCCTAAGTGGTTTGAAGGTGAAAGTGAAAACATTTAAGGAAAAAAAAGTAAATACAATGACAGGTTTTTTAAGCAAAGCAAGAAAGACAACCTGAATAAAGATAAATTGAAGGGACATGCATTAGCTGAAAGAATTCAAGATGCAGAGGGATACTGAAGTGGAAACAGTAAAGTGTTTAAAAGTGGGTAAAAGGACTTACTTCCAACTTTAACTGTTTTCACAAAATTCTGCTGAATATCTTATGGTGACCATTAGTATTACTGCAAGATCTCAGAACATCAGCAGGAGGTGGTTCAAAACAGACAGGTGAGTTTCCTGGATTCCTATTGAGTGTAAGGATTCACAGCAGTATTTGCGAGGACTTCAATATCACGTTTGTCACTATTTTTGCTATAGTGAATTGGGAAATTATCTAAATTTATATTTGAGCCAAAATTCATAACACAATGAAAATACCATCCAGTATTTTATAATAAATAAACAATAATTAATATAATATAATATAATATAATATAATATAATATAATATAATATAAGTAACATATATAATAATATAATCCAGTAATACATTAATTTGCAGAGCACCAAGTTATGCTGCATTTTTGTTATGCTGTATGGCAAAGTGTTTTTGAAACACAATTTGGAATTGATAGATGTTTACCTCATATTCATGTGTATTTCTTCAGAAACATTTGCCGTATCTTAGAAGCAGCATATCTACAATGTGATGCAGGGGTTGCTATGGTGAGTTCACATCTCTTATTTAATCCTGTACTTGAGTAAATACACATTGTAACAACCTCTGTTAAAGGTGCTATTAGTAAAGTTATGTCAGCATTTCTATGAAAAATACTTGTTTTCCTGTTATGACTTGGCCAAAAAACAAAGAAAGCTATTCCTAAACCAAATCCACAGAAGTCCCTTGTACTCTTCCAGTGTATTTTTAACACGACATCAATACCTTTCTGACGTCTTCAGTCACAAAAATCAAATTAAAAAATCAATGCATTTGCTTCTACTCTTTAGTAGTTAGTAATTTTGATTACAGTTATTCTGGTATTTCTCATTTAGAAAAATGTTTAGGAAAATTTGGGGATTAGTTTGCATTTCACTGCTCCAGTCAGTACCCGTGGTCATTCAGTCAGGCATTAATTACTGCGCTAGTTTTACAGCCCATCTGTAGTGCCAGAGTCACATAAAGACACTTCTGTATAAAGGAGAACAAGGTCCTTAGTTCTTGTACTTAAAGATTCAATTTAACTAAATGGCATCAGAAGTATAACATGTAGACTCCAGTGCATTCTTGTTGAGCAATTTGAGTGACTTTCCAGCCTAATATTTATGAAATGAGTGCTTAGTTGGAAGTAATTGAATACTTTTATCTTTTTGGCACCTATTTACTGTCCTAATCATTTGCTTTGCAAAAGAGTGTGTAAGTTTCTGAAAATATTTTTCTCCATGAGCTACCCTGTGTATATCAGAACAATTCTTGTATACATTTTTAGGTTTCCCTGATTAAATGCTTTCCTTTCATTGGCATTTTTAACAAACTTTTGTGGGAAATGTCTATATTTGACAAAATCTCTTAAAACAGATAATAATACTTATTAAGAAAAACTGCTACAAAAATGTTTCTAAATACATATTTCACTACATTTCAATGTTCACTCAAACTGTAGGTTTTGAGGACCGGGGTGGAAAAGTCAAAATTTACCATAAAAAAAAAAAAAAAAGAGTTTAGCCAACTTGTCCGTAAGGTCTGATTATTATCCTGGGATGTGCATGTATGCTTTCATGTTGACCTTGTAAAAGCTGTACTTTTAAGTGAAACACTTTCTTCTGTGCTTCATGTCAGCCAGAAGAGTGGATGATCATTTCTGAGTGGATAAACAGTGTGGCTGAACAAACACATCTTCCTCAAAAGTCAGGAAAAACAGTCAGGTTGGATAGAGAAACTCAGATCATAAATGTGCATCATTAGCCGGTAACGAGAAGGGAAGGTTATTTTTAGAGAATTTACTCCAATGATCAGTAAGAGAGAGGTGTGATAGGTTTTAGATGTTGCCCTGGCATAAACCATAGAAACTTGGTCTTTTACACAGCTTAAATTAGGGCCCTTCATGTTAAATGGAGTCATAGATATCGTTGAATTAGTGTTGATGGTGTTTTGGGGAGTGGCTCCAAGTTTTAAATGCTGTGGTATTTGGATGTTACTGCACAACTTGCTGCTCAGTTCCTGCATAGGATAGACCTCAAGCTCTACAAAACTAAATACTACAGCACTAGAAGATGAGAAATGTCCTTTCAATCTGCTGTAAGGCCTTCATTCCAAAGGCAATATCTGACATTGCAGTATTAGGGTCAAAAGCAGCAACACTAGAAATTTTAGAAAATACTGTTCAATAACATAAACAAAGGAGTAACAGAACATAGTGAATTTTACTTTTCTTGTGGTATGTGCCTATGAGTAGAACAGGAGTAAGGTACCAGCCTACCCATATTTCAAAAGAATTATCATTAAGAAGACTAGTAATATTTTTTCCTTTATTGGGATGCTGTACTCATATTTTCCATACCAATTATCTTCAGTTGTATTAATGTACAAAGAAATCCTTCTAAGACAATAAGTCAGCATGTTGT